AGATGGAATCTCCTTTCTTGTAGTTTGAAGCCATTGTTCTGCGTCCTAGTCTCCAGGGCAGCAGAAAACAAGCTTGCTCCCTCCTCCCTGTGGCTTCCTCTCACATATTTATACATAGCTATCATATCCCCTCTCAGCTGTCTCTTCTTCAGGCTAAACATGCCCAGCTCCTTAAGCCGCTCCTCATAGGGCTTGTTCTCCCGACCCTTGATCATTTAATATTTGGGCATATGGAATATTTGTACCAAGTTTGGTCCAGATCCATCATTGTTTGAGTCCATAGTGCTCTCTGCATGTAGGTGAACTACAATTCCCAAACTCAAGGTCAATGCCCATCAAACCCTTCTAGTGTCGTTTATGGGGGTCCTATGTGCCACGTCTGGTTCAATTCTATCGTTGGTGGAGTTTAGAATGCTCTTTGATTTTAGGTGAACTATAAATCCCATCATCTACAGCTCCCAAATGACGAAATCAATTTTTATGAGTGATGGTCACTTCTTGGGTTAATAGGTGTGTTTTGGCCGAATTTTGTGTCAATTCGTCTAGTGGTTTTTGAGTTATGTTAATCCCACAAATGAACATTACATTTTTATTTATATAGATACTAGCTGTGCCCACGCGTTGCTGTGGCCTGTAGCGAGAATTTTTGAAGTAGAGGTAGATATCTGGACGATTATGAAAGAGAGGTACCTACCTATGCCTTCCCCCCTTTTTCTTCCCCTTCCCCTTTCTCTCCTTTCTTCCTTCTCTACCTCTTTCTTTCATTCCTTCTTTCGCTCTTTGGTTTCATCCTTCCTTCTCTCTTTCCTTCCTTCCTTCCCCCTTTCTCTACTTCTCTCTTTGTCTCCTTTCTTCCCTCCCTGTGTCCTTCCTTCTTTCACTTTTTATTTCCTTTTCTCCTTCCTTCTTTACCTCTTTCCTGCATTTCCCTCCATTTTTCTTTCCTTTTTACTTTCTCTTCTTCCTTCCTTTGGTACCTCTTGCTTTCCTTCCTTCTCTCCTTCCTTCCCTTTTTCCTCTTTCCTTCGCTCCTTCCTTCCTGTCTGTTCTCCCCCAATACCATGGTAGAGTCCCTTCTAACTCCATTCTATGAGTCTATTTAGTATAATAATATATAGTAGTATATATAACAACAATATATATATAATATAGTATATATGTATTATATAGCAATATAAAATAGTAACATATAAAATAGTGTGTATGTATACATATATATATATATATATATATATATATATATATATATATATATATAGGAAGGAAAGTGAGGGAAGGAAAGAAAGGGAGGGAGAAAAGGAAAGGAAGGAGGGAAAGAATTAAAGGAAGGGGAGGGAGGGAGGGAGGGGGTTGGACCGGATGGCCTTTAGGGCTCCTTTAGGGTGTCAAACAGGGATGTGTTATTGCCCCAACTCTATTCTCCATCTTCATCGCTATGATACTTCACCTTGTTGATGGGAAGCTTCCCACCGGAGTGGAAATAATCTATCGGACAGATGGCAAGCTGTTTAACCTCAGCAGACTGAAAGCCAAAACCAAAGTTACAACAACATCTGTTATAGAACTCCAGTATGCTATTGACAATGTCGTCTGTGCGCATACAGAAGAAGATCTACAAGCCACTCTAAACACCTTCGCAGAAGCATACACGAAGCTTGGCCTGTCACTGAACATTGAGAAAACCAAAGTGCTCTTTCAGCAGTCACCAGCCATCCCCTCCCCAATGCCAGAGATACAGCTTAATGGTGTAGCATTAGAAAATGTGGACCATTTCCGCTACCTTGGTAGCCACCTCTCCACCAAAGTCAACATCGACACCGAAATACAACACCGCCTGAGCTCTGCAAGTGCAGCATTTTTCCGAATGAAGCAGAGAGTGTTTGAGGACCGGGACATCCGTAGGGATACCAAGGTGCTTGTCTATAAAGCTATTGTCCTCCCAACCCTGCTATATGCCTGCGAGACGTGGACTGTCTACAGACGTCACATGCAACTCCTGGAACGATTCCATCAGCGCTGCCTCCGGAAAATCCTGCAAATCTCTTGGGAAGACAAGCGGACAAATGTCAGCGTGCTGGAAGAAGCAAAGACCACCAGCATTGAAGCGATGGTCCTCCATCAACTCCGCTGGACCGGCCATGTTGTCCGGATGCCTGACCACCGTCTCCCAAAGCAGTTGCTCTACTCTGAACTCAAGAACGGAAAACGGAATGTTGGTGGACAGGAAAAGAGATTTAAAGATGGCCTCAAAGCCAACCTTAAAAACTCTGGTAGACACTAGAACTGGGAAGCCCTGGCCCTTGAGCGCTCCAGCTGGAGTCAGCTGTGACCAGCCAGTGCTGTAGAATTTGAGGAGGCACGAGTGGAGGGTGAAAGAGAGAAATGTGCCAGGAGGAAGGCGCGTCAAGCCAACCCCCACCGGGACCGCCTTCCACCTGGAAACCAATGCCCTCACTGCGGAAGAAGATGCAGAGCAAGAATAGGGCTCCACAGCCACATCCGGACCCACAAGGAAACCCATCATGGAAGACCATCTTACTCGTCCAACGAGGGATCGCCTAAGTAAGTAAGTAAGTAAGTAAGGGTTGGTGGGCACATGGGTGAGGGCTTTGATGGTGTCCTTTACTGCCAAATGAGGTTGGGCTGGATGGTCTTTGGGGCTCTTTTCCAAGCAATGTCAGTTTTGTGTGTCCCTATGACCCCCATCATGGCACCTTCCTCCTTCCCTTGTGCTGTGGGAGTGTGTGTGTGGGAGACAGAGAGTCAGAGTGTGTGCACAGAGTGTGGCCTGCCTCCCTCTTTTTTCCTTCCTCCCCCCTCTCTCACC